AGGAGAGCTTCCCTCTTTTCCAGGTGGAGGCGGAACTTGGCTATCCAGGAGGAAGAGCCAAAATTATACACAAGGAGTCAGACATGATCCTCGCATTTGCGGTGAATAAGGTAAGGCCCTCTGAAGCCATGGCTACCTTCGTGGCATTAACCTTTGGCTGAACCCAAGGCCTCTAACACCTAAGCTTTGGCCTGGGGGGTGGGGTCTTGTGCAGGCAAACATCAATGAGATCGTTTTAGCTTCCACCCACGATGTGCAAGAACTGGACGTATCTGCCCTGTTGGCCGCACAACCCTACATATGGATCGGAGAAGAGTTTGACAAGGAGTCAAAAAGGTTGGATGGTCTCACCAGTTTTTATTGATGTTATCATGTATGGACCCATCTCCCTTTTTTTTTTCATGGACCTCAAGGGAAAGCCTCCCCTCTTTTTGCCAAGTCTGTAAGGTAGCTTGGTCTACTAGTCAGCCCATCAGTTCCATGGTCAAGCAAAGGTCCTAACCCAGCTCTCCCTAACCATGGTCAAGCAATGGTTGTCCTAACCCAGATCTTCCTATCCATGGTCAAGCAAAGATCCTAACCCAGATCTCCCTAACCCAAGGTCCAGCAAAGATTCTAACCCAGATCTCCCTAACCATGGTCAAGCAAAGGTCCTAACCCAGTTCTTCCTAACCATGGTCAAGCAAAGGTCCTAACCCAGTTCTTCCTACCCATGGTCAAGCAAAGGTCCTAACCCAGCTCTCCCAAACCATGGTCAAGCAAAGATCCTAACCCAGTTCTTCCTACCCATGGTCCAGCAAAGATTCTAACCCAGATCTCCCTAACCATGGTCAAGCAAAGGTCCTAACCCAGATCTCCAAAACCATGGTCAAGCAAAGATCCTAACCCAGATCTCCCTAACTCATGGTCCAGCAAAGATTCTAACCCAGATCTCTCTAACGATGGTCAAGCAAAGGTCCTAACTCACTTGTGGTCCAACTTCTTAATTCTTACAAGATTTAGGGAAATCTAACTAAAACCTACAGTGCAAAAAATTAGGATTCTCCAATCTTTTCTGTTTTGTTCATCGTCACGCTGAAATTGCAATTTTGTTCTACTTTTGCTGTGCCTCTTTTCTCCCCCCTCCCCCCAAAAACCTTAATTTTGATCCAAATTAAACATCAGCCCTCTGTTTTCCTCAATTGTCCATTTTTGAGAGAGGCTAAGCACTGCTTAGATGAGTGAAGTCTCACCAGTTTCTGAATGCTGGAATTTACTGCTCTTTCAGTCTTAGCCACGTAAAATTCCAATATTCTATTTTCACCTTTTTTTGGTGTAGTTCAGACGATGTTGATTTTCGTGGCTCCACCACCACGCTTACACAGTCCAGCGCTGCGTCTTTTGCAGTGGCTCAGATGCAGCACGTTTCAAATCTGTCCACTTCATCAATGCCGTGGTTGGGCAGTGGGCAAACGAGTACTGGAGCTGGCATAGTAAGTAATTTCTCCTTGTGCACTCTCCTCCATTTGAATACCATCAAATATTTTGTCTCTTCGTCTTCCATCCACAATGTTACATCTGGTGACCCATGTATTTTTTTCTGTGTGTGTGTTTGCCACCTTGATTGACTTGCTAAGTAATAAAGGTGGGATATGGCTGGAGAGAGAGAGAGGGGGGGGGAGGGAGGGAGGGAGAGAGAGAGAGAGAGAGAGAGAGAGAGAGAGAGAGAGAGAGAGAGAGAGAGAGAGAGAGAGAGAGAGAGAGAGAGAGAGAGAGAGAGAGAGAGAGAGAGAGAGAGATGATAGAGGTAGGTAGGTAGGTAGATGATAGATAGATAGATAGATAGATGGATGGATGGATGGATGGATGGATGGATGGATGGATGGATGGATGGATGGATGGATGGATGGATGGATAGACGGACGGACGGACAAATGGGTGGTTCGCTCCATGGATGGACAGACAGACTGATAAGTATATTCATGGATGGACAAATGGACTAGTTACACAGACAGATAGACAGAGCATTAATCCTGCAAACTTTTTAGGATTAGATAAGGACTGCAAAATGCTGTCACATGATATACATTTACTAAGCCACTAGATGGCAGAAAATACCAGATTTATTTTTTTTCCCTTTTATCCTTAACATTCTTTTCTTGGATATCTTAGCAATAAATGATCCCAAGATCCACTTTAATATACACTGAGAATTTAGTATTAAATATTGCAAGGACATACATTATTTCTTCTTCTTCTTTTTTTGCTATGAACGCGAGCTATTCTGTCAGTTGTGGGGCAACCCAGCTGATGGTGAATTTCATTGTCTTTTGCACGCAGCTCATCAAACGGAACTTGAACAATGTCAAAAGAATGACATCTCACCCGATCCATCAATACTGTAAGTACTTCTTCTGACTGGCGGCTCGAATGGCGGAGAGATCGGGTAGGGCGGTGAGGAAAGTATCAAACCTAAAGCCAGAGAGAGCCCATTTGAACAGAATTCACTATTTCTACTTCTTGGGATCCATCTGGGGAAACTCCGTGCAGGGCCCCCTTTAAATCTGAGAAAAGATAGAATATCAGTTCAATTACTTACAGCAACCTAAAGAAGAACCTTAGAAATGAGATCTGGTCCCATTTCTCCTTCCCTTTTGCTGATTAGGAAGGCTTTTAAGAAGAGACCGGACAGTCATTTGTCTGAAATGTTGTAGGGTTTTCCCATTTGAGCAGAGGGTTGGGCTAGAACAATGATGGCGAACCTTTAGAGACTGAGTGCCCAAACCCCCACACACCCCCACACCGTCCCCGCCCCGCGTGCCATCCGCCGCCTCCACAGCCTGCCGCAGATTGCCCAGGTGGCCCAGCAGCACCATGGTGGCCATGCCCTCTGCCCGCGCCCGGCAGCATCATCTGCACGTGACGGGGTGCAAGGGCGGAGTCTTGTCCCCACTGCCTGGCTGCCATGTCCTTGGCTGCGCTGTTCTGCGTGGGCCACACCCGGGGGCGACTCTCCTCTACAGGGGCTGCTGGTGAGGAGGGGGCCGTGGGAGGAGGCGGGACTGGGGTGACGGCACGCGTGCCCAGAGAGAGGGCTCTGAGTGCCACCTCTGGCACGCGTGCCATAGGTTCGCCACCACTGGGCTAGAAGATCTCCAAGGCCCCTTCCAACTCCGTTATTCTCTTGTAGTTTCTCTGTTCTGTTATTATGTGCTAATCACAATTTCTTGTTTGGGCACTTGGGATGGTTTGCCAGATCTTACCGGAGCCCAGGATGGCAGCGTCCGAATGTTTGAATGGACCAGACCTCAACAGCTGGTGTGCTTCCGGCAAGCAGGCAACGCCAGGGTTACTCGAATGTATTTCAATCCTCAGGGCAATAAGGTGAGGCCTTTCACTTGCAGAACAAGTTATAGAACGAAGGCCACGGTCGTTAAAAGAACGCAGTCGTTAAGCGAGCTATTGCACAGTTTTAGCCAAAACCGGAAATAACTCTAGTCTTCAGGAAAACCATTATAAAATGTTGACTGTTGTGACCACAGGACATTTCATTACCCAACTAGGTAACATCATCAATGCTAGAAGGGGGGGGAGTTTGTGAATTGGAGAGGAGGAAGAGGAGTGAAACCACTATGGGGTCCTTGGTTTGCTTGTAGACATTTAATTACCTGACTAGGTAACATCATCAGTGCTGATCAGCAGTTGAGTTTCTCTGTTTCTCCGCTCGAAGGGGAAATTCTACAGCTGTCCCATCACCACATATCTTAAAGCCGACAAGGTTGAAAAACACGGATGTAGAGGATGAACTCAGCACTCCATTCAATAAAAGAGATCCTAAATGTATTGGGGGGTTTTTTAAAGTGAAATTGCTTCTTGATAAACGAACATTCATTTACCACGTGGCTCTTTGGAACACGCTCACAGAGCCACTGATGTGTGAAATTTGTCTCTTGCAGTGTGGGGTGGCTGACGGAGAAGGATTCTTAAGTATTTGGCAAGTAAACCAAACTTCAAGCAATCCTAAACCCTATCTGGTAAGTAATCAGGAGAAATCTGCACGTTTTTTTTTCTGCTTGTCTCTTTCGATTGAGACAAGTAGAAAATTGGGGGGGAGAGGCTGGAAAACCAGGCTAATTTAATACAAATTGCTCAATAATCTTACTTTCCTAACCCATTTGATGAGGTGGACATCAGCTGGATGTGGAAAGTAAGATTACTGGGCAATTTGTATTAAATTATCCTGATTTTTCCAGCTCCCCCCGCCCTCTCTAAGGACCATATAAACCATATAACCATCTGCTCTTTGTTAGAATCTAACAGTAAGTCAAACGTGAGTGCCTCTTTATATATGTATTTTAAATCACTCTCTGGTGCAGTGCTGGCAACTTCAAGATGTGTGGTGTTCAAATCCCAGAATTCCCTTAACCACTTTGCTTGCTGAGGAATTCCGGGAGTTGAAGTCCACGCGTCACAAAGCTGTCCAGGTTGAGAAACATTGCTCTGATGGCTTCTTGGAAGACGTCAAATAATTTCATTCTTTCCCATCTGATAAAGTGTCCATCTGATGGACTTTGCAGGTCAGATGACAATTTTGGGAGCTATACCTGGCCTAGTAGGGTTAAAAACTCTACGGGAAGGTATATACCTTTACGTTAAAGCTTGTTGATAGGGCTGAGGAGATCTAGAGAAGCAAAACCATGGAACAATTCAAAGGAGGGAAAGAACAAATCACCCAACATTGGCAGAAAAAAAGTTATTTTCCATGCCCATTTATTTATTTATTTACTTACTTACTTATTTATTTATTTATTTATTTATTTATTTATTTACTTATTTATTTATTTACTTATTTAGTTATTTACTCATTCATTCATTCTCGACTTTCATAACTCCACTTATGGGTCCTATCTGCTGCAAGACTTCCAGATGGCTAATTGTGCCTTGATTTCTAATCCTTGAAATCCATTTAGATGGTACACAGAGTCTAGGAAAGCATCTCGTCCTTTCCAAGTGTCATATTTTAATTAGATTGCTCTCCTCTTAGCGATTACAAGAAAAGATTATAATTATGAATGAAAAGTGTTAATTAAGCTCCTTTTCATTTCCTGTGCTTTACAGCTGAGAATATATACTGGCAATTTTAAACTCTCTTGGGTGTGCCAGCTGTTTGGCTTGAGAAGACGGGATGGCTGGACAATCTGAATTTAGGATTTGCAGTTTGTACCCTACCACTGAACACACTGTGTCTGTCACTGTTGTTCTTGTGTGTGTGTGTTTTTTTGTTTTACAGAGCTGGCAGTGCCACAGCAAAACCACAAGTGACTTTGCCTTCATTACCTCTTCAAGTCTGGTGGCCACATCTGGACAGTCTAATGACAACCGGTGTGTTCAGAAAACTATGTTGGGCGGGACAGTCACCCAACGTGGGACTGGTGACTGTTGAGTACTGTCTTTCATGGGTGTGCTTTCTTTTACAGAAATGTGTGCTTGTGGGACACCTTGGTGTCATCATCTAACAACCTCATACATGGTAGGTTTCTTGCCATATATCTTGATTCGAGGTGAACCCTATTTTATTTTAGTTTCATTTTGTTTATTTACTCTGTATCCCAGCTTTTATTATTTTTATAAATAACTTAAGAGGGGAACATGCATAATACTCATTTCTCTATTTTCCCCAGAACAACAACCCTGTGAGGTGGGTTGGGCTGAGAAGAGAGAATGATTGGCCCAAAGTCACTCAGCTGGCTTTCATGGCTAAGGCGGAACTAGAGCTCCCAGTCTCCTAGTGATTGGCCCAAAGTCACCCAGCTGGCTGTCATGGCTAAGGTGGAACTAGAACTCCCAGTCTCCTAGCGATTGGCCCAAAGTCACTCAGCTGGCTGTCATGGCTAAGGCGGAACTAGAACTCCCAGTCTCCTAGTGATTGGCCCAAAGTCACCCGGCTGGCTGTCATGGCTAAGGCGGAACTAGAACTCCCAGTCTCCTAGTGATTGGCCCAAAGTCACCCGGCTGGCTGTCATGGCTAAGGCAGAACTAGAATTCCCAGTCTCCTAGTGATTGGCCCAAAGTCACCCAGCTGGCTGTCCTGGCTAAGGCGGAACTAGAACTCCCAGTCTCCTAGTGATTGGCCCAAAGTCACCCGGCTGGCTGTCATGGCTAAGGCGGAACTAGAACTCCCAGTCTCCTAGCGATTGGCCCAAAGTCACCCGGCTGGCTGTCATGGCTAAGGCAGGACTAGAACTCCCAGTCTCCCACAATCTAGCCTGCTGGCTTAACCATCCTGTGTTACTCAGTCTTTCTTCAGACGTTTGGTTGCCTATAAACCTTCCCAAATCAACAGGATAAGTTTTAAAACTTCTGTTATGAACTTGGCACAACCGCCCCCTTCTCCTATCCTCTCCTTAAGCAAGCAGTTACTTCCTGCTTCCCCCCCCCCCAAGTCTCTGTTCCGAAAGGCCTCGAGAGAGAGAGTCTCTGCAGAATTTGCCTGTCTCTGAAGTAGACAAAACAAATGAGCTAATCTGCACGATAAGAGCCCAAGTATGCGTAAATGTGGAGGAGGAGATAGTCTCTAGGACCGTAATCTGTGCATGGCCAGAGAACGTTAAAAGTTGGGAGAGCAACCAGGTGTCCCTGACAGAGATGGGTGATGGATTTTCTCCTGAAGATGCAGAGGAATTTGGTAGAAGGGGCAGAAAAGCCGGCTCCGGGAATTGATAACAAGGTTTTCAGTTATCGCTGTTCTTTTAAAAAGAAAAGAAAAAAAATCCTGAATTTGCAGGTTTACCCTGAGACAGAAGCACAGAGTGTCAGAATGCATTCCTTTAAGCACTGCAGTCACTTGGGGGCGGGGGTGGGGAGCTGTCAATCCATTCTTTTTTATTGTTCCATTTTTCTTGCTCTTTGACTGGCCTGGAGTTTACATTTGGACATCGCTAATATCAGAAGACAACAATCAGTTAAATAATTGTGTCATTTCAATCATTTGAAAGCTCTCCACAGCCCCCAAATATTGGTCATCCATTTGTTTTTTTCTACCTGCTAGCAAATAGGATAGCATTCTGAATGTAACCAGGTTCACAAGACATTCTAAGCCAAGGTCTCCAAACATGGCAGCTTTACGACTTGTGTTTCAACTCCCAGAATTCCTCAGCCAATCATGCTGGTTGGGGAATTCTGGGAGTTGAAGTCCACAAGTCTTAAAGTTGCGTAGTTTGGAGAGCCCTGTCCTAAGGCATAAGGTGGGTTTTGCTTGTAGGTATGTTATGTAAATCCTGTAGCTCTAGTTAGCAAATCATGGTTCAGCACATTGTCTGAACCCAGATTACTATGGTTTAATCAATAAATAATAGTTAGGCAAGTCATATCCTATGAATATTGCCTCGGATGTACCCTCCAGATGCATTTCAAAGTAGATTTTAGAAACATAGATCGTTGGGAGAGGTCTTTTGGAAAACGGGAATATAGACTTCAGCCCTTTTTAGCGCTCAAATCCATATTCCCACAATCAAACTTCGTCGACATGCTGCCCTCCAGATATGTTAGGACAAATGTTAGGATCCAAGATGCTGGTTAGGGAATTCTGCAGATCATCTGTGGAGAGTCTCAATCATCCAGGTCATGGTTGTCCCAAAGGTGCTTTTTCCAAAAGGCAACTGGACTTTCTTGTTTTTGCTTGAAGACATTTCACTTCTCATCCAAGAAGCTTCTTCAGTTCTGAAGAAGCAAAACATCTTCAAACAAAAACAAGGAAGTCCAGTTGCCTTTTTGAAGAAGCACCCTTGGGTGCAATTCTGCAGATAGTTTTTCCAACACCATCTGAAGGACACCAGGATGGGGAAAGTTGGTATAGATCAGGGGTAGGCAACCTCGGCTCTTTTATGACTCATGGTCTTCAACTCCCAGAATTGAAGTCCACGAGTCATAAAAGAGCCAAGGTTGCCTACCCCTGGTATATATACAGTAGTTCTACCTACTTGCTGACTTCCCTTATTCTTACGTTACTCAGTTGAGGCATCTGTTGAGGCTAATAACCATTTCTAAGAACCGTCTGGATGATTGTCTTCTCTCTTAGCCTTCACATGTCATGAACATGGCGCCACAGTGCTTCAGTATGCACCGAAACATCAGCTGCTGATTTCCGGAGGCAGGAAAGGCCACATCTCCATCTTTGACATTCGGCAAAGGCAAGCCCTTCATACATTTCAGGCACATGATTCCGCCATCAAGGCCCTCGCCTTGGACTCCTCAGAAGAATGTTTCTGCACAGGTTCTGCAGAAGGCAACGTAAAGGTGAGCTTGTCCACTTTTTCCCTACCCAGGAACAGCAACAAGAATGATTGAGGTCTGGAAGCCAAGTACTAGGAAGGGAGATGGAGGGAATGAGTGAAGTTTGTCTTTGAGAAGGCCAAGATGACACTTTTCATGCCCCCGAAGAAGGTCAAACTTCCTAACGTTAAGAATAGTTTAATGAAAAGAAGGATTAGAGGATGAGATGATAGCAGTGTCCCAATATCTCAGGGGTTGTCACAAAGAAGAGGGGTCAACCTGTTTTCCAAAGCACCTGAAGGCAGGACAAGAAGCAACAGATGGAAACTAATCAAGGACCAGAACCAACCTAGAACTAAGGAGGAATTTCCTGACAAAACCATCAGTGGAACAACTTGCTTCCAGAAGTTGTGGGTTCTCCAACACTGGAAGTTTTTAAGAAAAGATTGGACAGCTATTTGTCCCGAATGATATAGGGTCTCCTGCTTTAGCAGGGGTTGGACTAGAAGACCTCCGAGGTCCCTTCCCACTCTGTTATTCTTTTAGTTTGATTGTGGAACTAATTACAAGGTGTAAACGTCTGAACCAATAGCAATAGAAATAGCACTTAGACTTTTATATACCGCTTCATAGTGCTTTATAGCCCTCTCTAAGCGGTTTATAGTTTATATTGCCCCCAACAATCTGGGTCCTCATTTTACTGACCTCGGAAGGATGGAAGGCTGAGTCAACCTTGAGCCGGTTAGGATCGAACTCCTAGCAGTGGGGCAGAGTTAGCCTGCAGTGCTGCATTCTAACCACTGCGCCACCATGGCTCATCAATGCATCTGGCAATAGTTAAAGAGAAATATCTGTGGAGTCCTTGGTGCTCTCTGTGCTTGGTTGATCTTGGACAGCAAGGACTCCACAACAATTAAACAACAACTCAGTTCCTGGATATTGACTGTCTATTTTTCCTGTCTGTCTACTTTTTTTTAAAAAAAAAAAATTTCTTACCATAGGTCTGGAGGC